GATTTCAATCATTTAAATAAAGCTGAAATAAAATATAAATATTAGATGAAAAACTTAAACAAAAATCAGAAGTGTTGCCTTTACATTTGTCTGAAATAAAATAATTTGAAGTACTAAAATTAAAACTTAAATAAAAGTAAATTCATTCTAAATAGAAATGTAAAAACAAACGATAAAAACAGCAAAATCACATAAAATACTAAAACTTTAAAATTATAATGAAAACTAAAAATCTAAAACTAATAGTTCAGAATATTAATAAATAACATAATATTATATAAATAATACTACAATATCATTGCGCAGGCCCATTTAAAATGATATTATATTTAATATCCCATTATATTTTATAATGGGACACATTAAGGAATTCCTGACACTGGTGTTCAATGAAATTGAAAATGAACAGTGATAGTTTGTGAGTGTTTTCAGTGTAAATGTCAGGTTTGTGTTGTAGTCCAGTGCTCTAGGCACATGAACAGCCCTTTGTTCTTTGTGTGGACTCTAATGTGCTGGCCAAAGCTTTCATTGTGTTCTGTGAAGTAAAGAAAATTGCAACCTGCCTTTGAAGGCCACAGTCAGTGAGACATTTAAAGCTCAAACGAGCGGTCAAAGAGCAGACATCCTGGGTCTCTACACCCGCTATTACACTGTATGCACACCCGGACACCTAGAAAACTGATTCTTTTCAAATTTACAAATTATGGTACATTTAATCATCAAATACCAAAAAGATCCATTCCCTGATTTCTACAACATCAACAATACCTCACTTTGACAGAGAGCTCTGTCACTCCAATGGACAGGGGGAAGATTTAGATGACGCCCAGAGGGTTGAGACAAGAGCCCTCAGTATGCCTGGCCTCACCTGTCATAGATGATATTGCAGTGGTCATGGAAAACTACACATTTTCAACAGTCATTTTAAGATGTGAGCAGCTGTCCTTTGCGTGAGGAAAGGATTTTTCAAAAGGGGTCGATGGGTCATTAGTGGACTACTTGGCCCTCAGGCCAGGATGGATTTGGTTAGTCAAATGAAAGGGCAAAAGGGCTGGTTGAAATATGGCTAAAGTGATGAGAGAGATAGAGATCACTGCCCCAGCAGCTGCACTCTGACACCAGAAGGACCCTGATAATGTTTGTTGGCTGATAGATATAGTTAACAAAAATGTCCTTACTGCTGTTTTGTCGGTATAAATCAGAAAATCTGGTCCTTGGATTGAAATATGATTTTTTTAAGTCTGACACATGATGACTTGGTGCTCAAGAAACATTTCCTATTATCAACAATATTGAAAACGTTTTTTTGCAGGATTCATTGATGAATAGATAATTAAAAAGAACAGCATTTATTGATTGATTGTTTGATTGGAGAAGTATTTACTGGAGGATATGGTGAGTTTTATTCCTAGTTCATGAGTTAACATTTCGGGTTTGGTGCCAATGAAGTGTTGCTTACCAGCCATTATGTAAAATGTGGTTCTACAAAACATACACTTACTTACGTTTGCACAGACACTGAAACATACAATACTGATGTATTTACAGCATCTAAACATACATTACTTATTTGAAGTGAAGTGAAGTGACGTGACATGTGGCCAAGTATGGTTACTCATACTCGGAATTAGTGCTCTGCATTTATCCCATCCAAAGTGCACACACACAGCAGTGAACACACACACACACCGTGAACACACACCCGGCGCCCGGGGAGCAGTTGGGGGTTCGGTGCCTTGCTCAAGGGCACCTCAGTCGTGGTATTGAAGGTGGGAGAGAGCGCTGTACATTCACTCCCCCCACCTACAATCCCTGCCAGTACGAGACTCGAACCCGCAACCTTTGGGTTACGAGCCCAACTCTCTAAACATTAGGCCACGACTTCCCCGTAAAGGAATAAGATTCCTCTTTGTCCCACATGGGACATAAGGCCACTCTAAACATACATACCGACATACAAAATATATTTTTTAATGCTATATTGTTACTAAAATGGTCATGACTCTCCGTATTTCTCCGGAGAAAAGACCTTGGGAGAAACCAGGCTCAGTCAGGGGGCCAGTTCTCCTCTAATAATTTGGTCATTTTAAACGTTGTAATAAAAATTGTCCAAATTGTACATTTCAGCATCATTTTAAAAATGTACATTTTGTGCTTGTAACCCATACATGCTAATACCTATAAACAATGAAACCAGGCTGTACTTACAGATGGGGCTGTGGAGTATATTAGACAAAAAAAAAAAGATTCTAATGGTTGTTTAGAAAAAATGCATACATGGACTGTGGTGTTTTCAAACTGCTTTGCGCCATAATACTAATGTTAAATTATCCATTAAAACAGATAAGCTCACCTATGAACCCCCACGCTTTTTGATGCCATTGCGCAGAATTCAAGTGTGGCTGGGGTCTGTAAATATCAATTCTTTCATTAAATGTAAATGTCTTTATGTCATTGTCTGCAAATGTTACTGTGCAAAAAGTTGCTGTGTTTCTGAATTTCAGGTATATCTGTTTAATTATTATTTTTTTTATTAATAAAGAAGAACCTAGGACAGTTATGTAATCTTGACTACTTGTTCAAATCTAAAACACATACACACACATATAAACAGACACACAGAGCTACCATTGTCTTGCATACAGTGCATGGAAGAGCTCATGCATACAGTACATGGAAGAGCTCATGCATGTAGACGTGTTGTTTTTAAAGAAAAGGCTAATTAAGTAGAAAACCCCTCCTCAAACCTCTTTTCCCACCCATTATGGCCGCCACACTGGCTCCAATGCACATGCTAAGTGTGGAATGCGGCCATTTCCTCCCTCTCTAGAAAGACAAAGAGAATCAATGGCGAGATAGTCTTCCCCCCTCTCCTTAACCTTCAGTCTTGTTCTTTCTAATGAATAATGCCTCTCTTGATATTACACATTCACCTTTATGGTGGAAAAGAAATGCTAATGTTTAAAGCCTAATTACATCATTAGAGAAGAAATGGCAGCTTTTGACACATTTCGATGGTGATTTGTTTCTGACTATACATATAAGAATATAAGTAAAAAAATATAAGTAAAAATAGCAAAGCATTTTCATTTTATAGCTGCACCAACAGGAACTAAATAATAATAGGATATCGATATCTAAATGAAATGGGTGGATAGGCAAATGAGAAGAATAGCATAACCTGCTGTTTTTGTAACTGCCATGCAAATTAACTATTTTTACCATTCTAAATAAAAAGTGTGTTTATGTATTTGCATATTGCCATAAAAAGAAACAGATCGGTGGATGTGATATGAATGGAGTCCAACCGTCTACTCAACAAGTGCGGGCTTGATTTTTACACACAGCTGCCGCTCACAAAATGCAAGGACTTTCTAACTTTCCAGTGTGTCTTCTCCAGAGCAGGTGCTGGTGTATTCATCTCAAAAATAAATTTAGGACTGATTGTTTTCAATAATAATATACAACGTTCATTCATTTGTGTTACACAGTTTTAACACAAACTTAATTTTGAAACAAAATAAATCAATGACAATTTAAATAAATTAAACCAGTTAGAATGGGATTTAAATAGTACTAATAAACCAAATGTGTTTGAAATTTGTATATTTATCACCAAAAAGCCAAACCAATCTCATACATTTTGACTAATTGAATCTTGCTTGTTCCACAGACATAATTACACAATGTTCATACTTTTTAACTGATTAAATGTAATTGTTTTCACAATTAAACAATTAATGCTGATTCTATGTTTGTTTTTAATCTATTTTATTAATAAAAAAATGTAGATGATAGTACATTATGCGTTTTATTCAAAATAGCAGTACAAAATAAACTATTTTGTAATAATAGAGTTAAACAAAATCTCAAAAAAAAAACACTATGGTTAATGTCTCTTCTCTCACTTTAATACCTGTAAGCATCTGTATTCAAATGAAATGTCCCCAAATACAATGTTCATACTTCGGGAAAACTTAGAATGAAATTTGCAAATTCACAATAATAATTTTGCCACTCGCACACAAACAAACTTTCCTTACCAACGGATTTCTGTATTATCTCATTTTGTCGTTGCCTGTAAATATCTGTTTGTACACCATGAATTAGCTATGATTAATAAATGTGTCGTGTGGTGCGTGAGAAAACAAGGGTGTGCGTTGTGGGAGACGGGATCAGGCGTGTGTGTTTGTGAATAGAGTGTTTGTGTAAAGTGTGTAAGGGAGGTGTAGGGTATATGAGCAGATGGTAGGCCTCTCCCCTGTAATGTCTGCTTCAGACAGAACAATACGTCTCTCTTTCTGAGGCATGGTTAAGGGGTGGAAGAGGATTGCTCTGCATGGACAGCTGGTTGGCAGCATGCCTCAAACGCACATACAGACACCCCCTCCCCATCACCCGCACAGACACACTCAGCAATTAACTGGCACGGGCCACAGCTTAAATATTGACCAGCCCAGAGCAAACAAAAGACCTTCAAATCAGGTCTCGAATGGCTCATGATCTATATTTTTCTCTTATACATTTTTCTGATTCGTTCTCCTGCTTGTCATATATTTTTAACACATATACTTTAGCATAACAATTCTCATATAAAGCATTGGTGTCTTAGAAGAATAGTTTACCCAGAAATGAAAAACTCACCCTCATGTTGCTCCAGACCTGTATGACTTTCTTCTTCAAAAAGAGAATCACAGCCTCAGTCACCATTCGCATTCTTTACATCTTTTTCCATACATTGCAAGGGAATGGTGACTGAGGTTGCAGTCTGCCTAGTATCTTTTGTGTTCCATAGAAGAAAGTCATGCTTAAATCAACATGAGGCTGAATAAATTACTTCCTATATTGTTTATGCCTGATTTGCGAGTCTTATTTTTTTATTTTTAAGAGAACTATACATTTAAGACTTGCAAATAACTATAGAAAGTAACACATTCATAAAAGTACAAATTCTCCGTGATATTTTATGTAGCCTATGTAAATCATGCATTACATAGTGCAAGTAGGCTTAATGAGCGCACTGGAACTTCAAAAGAAAGTGTAGTAAAACAGAACAACAAAGGTTACAGATCTCTGCGACTTTTACTGCATTCATCTCACCGTTACAAACAAAAACGCCTTCAAGAAGCAGGACAAATGCGCACGGGGCTGAGAGTGAATGCAGTTCCGCTTGTCTCCCCCTTCAGCAGCGCGCTCCGCTTGGAGGCGAGCGGTTCTCCCTGCGCTCCCCGAGAGGAGGCGGGGCGAGCGGCAAGCGGAATTGCTTTTGATCCCCGAGGGACTCGCAGCCTTCACATTCCGCGCATTCCAGAGGCTGTGAACAATCGGAGCTCGGTCATTTATTAGCAGAGCTCCTCCCCTCCTGAGCTCAGTCTGCTGGAGGAGCTCTCCAGACGCGCACGCAGCTCAGACATACGCATGGAAATAAAAGCCGTACTCCACGAATTTCCTTAAGGATTATATCGTTAAACAGATATACGAGTACAGAAAGACGTCCGTAACTTTAATTCGTTGTGCGATTGTGACTTGGTGAGTTTTTAAAAGTAGCTTGTTGTTGTAAACTGCCCTTTTTTATGGCACATTGCAAAGTTTCTGCCAGTGGACGATGCTTGTATACAATGTGTTTTAACGTTAATTTAATAGGCTGTACGTGTAAATTAAGATTTTATTAATTTCTTTGTGGGCTATATGTTGTAAATCCAACGTTTTTGACATGTAGGACACATGAATGTAAGCGTTTTTGTGAAATATATAACATCTGTGATGCTACATTCAGGTTGAACTACTATTAAAGAAGAGAAACTAACCAACTTGTATAATACCCCCTTGTTTATAATGCTCCTTTTGGCATATGTAAATGTATTACTACAGTTGTGATAGTAAAACAAAGATGAGACACTAGATAGGAATTTGTCTTTGTGTATATATATATATATGTATGTGTATGTATGAGGAAACCCAGTGTATGATGGGGGTTGTAGGATGGTGCCAGTGGTATTTTGGGTAAACGTGGTGTTGCTATGGGTAAAGGCAGTCAGCCTAGAAGCATGTGGAGTGAGGCACCACTCACTGGTGTTTGCTGTTGTAGTGTTGCAATATAGATGAACAATAGCAAGGATTTGCATATGAAATGTAATTTATATATATGTATATATAATAGATTTATTTTATGTTTTAAATTTTTTTTTTTTTACATCAGGTTCGCTGTCTAGTCCAAAAATCTCTCCTAACACACTATCATTGATTGCTGTCTGCAAAACAAAGACTGAAATGAGAACGGCAGAGGATTCGTCAGGCACGGTGCTGCACCGACTGATTCAAGAGCAGCTCCGTTATGGGAACCCTACTGATCCTACTCTGTTGGCCATCCAGCAGCAGGCTCTGCGTGGAGGCAGCAGCGGTGGTGGTGGTGCAGGAAGCCCTCGTTCGTCCCTGGAAAGCCTAACGCAAGAGGAATCACTTTCTCCCCAGTTGTCCACCCGGCAGGAGCCCCAGGGCCAAGAGCACCAGGGGGACTACCAGCATTCAGAGAGTCCCGTCTGCCACCTGTATCAGCTCCACACAGAGGAGCTGCCTACTTATGAGGAAGCAAAGGCTCATTCACAGTACCTGGCCTACCAGAGAGGTCAGGTAGGGCTTCTGCACGGCAGCCTGGAGACCCCTGGAGTGGTTGGAGGAGCCGAGCAGGAAGAGAGAATGTGGGATGTGAAGCGTGAGCATGCACGCTCGCTCAGTGAACACCTCATGCAGCTCTCGCTGGAGAGGAATTGTGCCCATGACAATATTCCCATGAGCTCATCGCATAGCTACCCCCAGCTCTCCAATAACCACTCTGGTCCTGTTGTGAACGAGAGGTCGATTCATGAGCCAGACCAACGCGGTCCACCCCCGGAGTACCCCTTCATGGTCAGATCCCCTGGATATATGCTTGTTCACTCACAGGAACATGGGCATTATTACAAAGAGCCTCCCCCTGCTTTACACTCACAGCATCACAGGTACATTCAACTGGTATTTTGCTAATTTATATTTCATTTAGGTACATTGAGGGTGCTTTGGCATACTAATGGTTTTTATTTATCTCTATCAGGTTATTTCCAACCCAGTCGCAAGCGCCTTGCCATAGCGGCCTGCCCTCGTTGACCCCTGCTGGCCAGGATGTCATTGTTGGAGGATACAGCATCCCGGTGAACAACTGCCAAATAGAGCAGCTCATTAAAGAGAACGAGAGACTGAGAGGAGAAGTAGAGAGCTACAGTGAGAAGGCAGCAAGGCTTCAGAAGGTAAGAGAGGACTCTTTGTTCCTTCTTAGAAACCTCCCAGAACTGTTATATTCTTAGTATGACCCCACATATTGCCATGGATGCCAAAAAGAGGCAGCCGTGGCCTTTGATTTTGATCTCAGAAATGACCTACAAAGGGTGTGGAAACAAGAAATCATTGTGTACTGGTGTCTTCTAGCCACCACATTCTAAGGAGATTAGCCCTCTTGCCGTGTAGGAATGCGTGCAAGGGAAAGGATCAGAAGGATTTCGATTTAATTTGAAAAGCACTCATTCGTAGTGACTGAGTTAAAATTCCCAGTAACTTATTTAGCATGTGAAACAACATTGAATTTACCCATGCCTGCAATGCCAAGCATTTTTTTTGTAACGTGATAATGTCATCACTTAAATACCAGAGTCTCATGCCAGAATAAGGGGAGAAAAACAGGTTTATTTTATTTTGCATTTGTTTTGCAAAGGTTTATTGGGTCTTGCATATGTCGTTCAGTTATTTCAGTTTAGATTACACATAGTTCTTGCAATCAGAACAACTGTATTCTTAAAAGAATGCCATACTATAACAGATCATGGGTCATGAAGATCAAGTTACCTTCATACAGAACTATAAATTGTAAATCGGAAAACTCCAAAGGGGAGGGCCTCCCTGGGTTGTTCTGTTGGCCTCTTTATTAGGATTCCAATGGGATGCCAATAGGAGCAGATGTCTTCACTCATCTCAGTGTCTGCGAATGAAGAAGGGGCTTTGCGTAGCCCACAGCTGACAGACTGGGCTGCGAAGAGTAACAACCAGACCCCACAGCTGGATTACCTGACTGAATGGCCCCTTTCATTTTCACTCTTGAACAGAATCCCACATAGCACCCAGGGTTCTGCTTAAGAATTTAATAACACATTCATTTCATATAGGTAGTTTTTAAGTAAAAACTATGATTTTAAAGAAATCCGTGAGATTTCTCATCTTAGTGTTCTGTAATGGCAGTTTAAACCTTTATGATTAGTTTGTTTTGGAAAAATTTGCTCTTTCATGAGGCATTTTCTGCGTCACAAATGCCATACAGGTGCATATAGTGTGATGTGAAGTACTGTTCTTGTCTCTGTGAATGGTAAGCCTTCAACACACACTTTTCCTTTGTTCCCCACGTTTGCCTTTGGCATCCCACCCTGTAGGGAGACGAATGTGCAGACACCTGGGACTCATAAGTGTTCTTTCTGGAATGTTGATTCCATTCCCAGTCCCTAAAGAGCTCTGTGAGGGTGATTCACTTGTGGGCAAGCACCACTAAATGCTCAGCCAAGCACATTCTTCCCTCTTTCCCTTTCTTTCCAGAATTGATTTAGTCTATCTGTCATTCTTGCTCTCTGATCCTTGTTTCAGTATGTTTAGGTGTAAGAAACAGTGTAGTTGACCCAAAAATGGAAATTCTTGCATATACTCACCCTCATGTTGTTTCAAATCTGTGTGACATCCGTCCTTCCACGGAACACAAAAGGAGATACTTGGTATATAATGCCCAACTTGTACTTTTCCCTACAGTGAAAGTGAATGGGAACCAGGAACTGATGAGTTCCTATGGGTTAAAAAGTAACGGTGGATATTAAAATGTCTTTCTCCTCTCTTTCAGCTCGAACAGGAGATTCAGAGGATATCGGAGGCTTATGAGACTCTTATGAAAGGATCTGCAAAGAGAGAAAGCCTTGAGAAAACCATGAGGAACAAGCTTGAGAGTGAGATCAAGCGACTTCATGACTTCAACAGAGATCTCAGGGGTAAGATTGTTCACATAGCTGAGTAATTGTCTTAAATATGAGCTACATGTTTAGGTATGAGGCGATTAATACTAATTGTTGACTCCCACATTAGACCGCCTGGAAACCACCAACAAACAGAGAGCAGCCATGGAAGCTGAAGACAAGAGTCGGCATGTCTTCGCTAAACTGGTTGAGCAAAGTAAGAATTCCCCTTTGCTTCTCTATAAATGATCTTTCTCCCAATGTGCGGTCAACCATGCAAGCAGCCCCAGCTGTTCCCACTGAGTTTTATATTTATGTTGTAGGCATAACTATTCATTCCTCTAACAATAATGCAAGAAATTAGGTTTCAGTGAATAGCTGGTTAGGTACACGCTGTATTCTTCATCTCAGATAGTTGCTTTTGGAATTCGACCACCAACCATTATTAACGCTAAGTAAATGAGACCTGGATTCCTGAAATATTTTCAGGTATTTTGGGAAAAATTCATCCTCCTGGAATGCTTTCCAACAGCCCCCACCATTATTTGAGCTTCTGAGGCCCTAAGCAACCCCTTGTTATGCCCTATGCACTGGCTCTCCATTTTTGGTCATATTAGTGCTAAAGAATTTAGAGATGTGGTAGGGTAAATCGGATTTGTTTTGCTAATCCTAATAGGGATTGTTGTTGTTGTTCAGCATTTGATTTGACCCTTTTGGAATGGTCTTTTTTTCTGTTCCCCAAGGATAGAATATTAAGTGATCCTTCATATTTGCGTAATAAAATTAGTTTAAATCCAAAACAGAAGAGTTTTGTCCAAATTCTGGATGTTTAAAATTTCTTTGCGAGCCAACACACAGTTCCACAGAAGCTTGTCCAAGCCACGATTCAGCACCTCTGAAGACTTGTAACGATGTATTACAATTACAATTTATGACCTTGTGGAGCTATTTGCTTTACATGTTTACTGCCTGGCTCAGATGCATTCCAGAGATCCAGTTGGTACAAAGACGTGCCTGTGTGCGTAAGTGGATAAGAGGAAGTCTGCATTCCATCCAAAGGCATTTGTTTTGGGTTGTATAATCAGAGTAGGAGTGAAATGGAAGACTGATGGCTGTATAATTTGTTTTCTATCTCTCAAGGCATTCAAAGTGACCCCAAAATTAGTGAACTTGGCTTTAGTATGTCCCTTTTCAGTGTGCCAAGTCATCTTAGAGCTTTTGAGGAATTTAGCTTTCCAAATGAGAATTCATTGAATCGCTTTTTTGATCTGGGAATTCTAAAGCAGTCTGCGGTGTAGGTCAAAGGACACTCGGAAACTCGACCACTCCCCTGCAAACCCAGACAGATATGTGTAAATCAAGCATGCCTCTTTTGTTCCAGACTTTGTGGGAAGCTTATCCCCTGAGAATTTGTTAGAATGAGACTACAGCCCAGAGAATGCTCTGGACACACCCCAGTCCTACAGCACAGTCATTCATTTTGTGGCCTGTGTAACAACTAAGCATGATGACAGAACAGAAAGCATTGCTTGTACCCTATGTAGTAAGTTGTCATGGTACATAGTTCTCACAGTGTTTTTTTCTCGTTCTCTCCATAGATGAAGATCACCTTCGCGAGCGGGAACTTCTGGAAAAAGAGTTGCAGCATCTGCGGGTCTCAGGAGAAGAATGGAAGAGGCGGCGAGAGGCCTCGGAGCAAGCGCTGATGTCCGCTCAGACACGAAATAGGCAGCTGGAAGAAGAGTTACGCAGGAAAAGAGCGTATGTGGAGAAGGTGGAGAGAATGCAGAGTGCCCTTGCACAGTTGCAGGCGGCATGTGAGAAGAGGGAGGCACTGGAGCTACGACTGCGGACCAGACTGGAGCAGGAGCTCAAGAGCCTGAGAGCACGGCAGGTAAAAAAAGATGACATCTGTTTGCCCGACTGGTGAGAAAATGTTTTGGGCTTGACGAGTAAACCTCTTCTTTCTCTTTTAGTGGCAGACTCAAGCCCAGCAAACGAGTCCTGGGTCCTACTCGGACCTTAACATGTCATCTCTGCATCAGCAGCTGAGGGAGAGAGAGGAGCAGGTTCTGGCGCTGGAGGCTGACATAACCCGCTGGGAGCAAAAGTATCTTGAGGAGAGCACGATGCGTCAATTTGCCATGGATGCCGCTGCTACTGCTGCAGCTCAGAGGTGAGTCGCAACAGAAGTGATAGAAGCTTTGCCTAAAAGGACAGGAAATGGGAATTTGACACAAAGTTTGTATACTCTTGTATAACTGTAATGCTCTTTTCAGGGATACAACAATCATCAACCATTCACCTCGCCATTCACCCAATAGCAGCTTCAATGAGGACCTGCCATCCCCCAACCACAGGCATCAGGAGATGGAAAACCGGTATGTCCACTATTACATTCTCTATCCACAAGTGGAAAGTTATTCAAATTTTGTTAGCAAAATTTACTGTTTCGTTTCCAATTGTGTCCATGTGCTGTATCTCAAAGTAGTATGTTTTATCAGGATTCGGGCGCTTTATGCTCAGCTTTTGGAGAAGGATGCCATTATAAAGGTCATGCAGCAGCGGTCACGGCGAGAGCAAGTCCGATCTGAGTCGCAAGGCCTACGACCTGCTCGATCTGTTCCCTCCATCAACACGGTTGCCACAGCTAGCACCACCCAAACCAAAGGTGAGCATAGTAGCCATAGCCAGTGGTTTCCAATCCTGCCTCTGGAAGGACACCTTCCTGCAGAGTTTAGCTCTGACATACCTGCCTGGAAGTTTCTAGTAATCCTGAAAACCTTGATAAGATGGTTCAAGTGTCTTTTAATTAGGGTTGTAGCTAAAATCTGCATGACATTGACCATCCAGGAGCAGGATTGGACACCCCTGCTATATGTCTGTAACATATCTGAACCAAAAATGACACATACTTTCAACTGGACAACTGGCAGCTTCTTTACTTAGCGTCTATGTAATGTCGCCAAGAAAGAATGTGCCAACCAAAATAAAATGCATTCCCGAAATAGTCTACATCTTGTGAAACGGAATGCATATCGCTGTTCTCTAGAATAGATTCTCCAGAACAGTAAAGGGAGTTTACAGGATGGCAAATGTTTGCGTGGTGGTATGCCTATGTTGGAACCGGTAATTAAACTGCTTCCTTTTCCGTCTGCGATTTTTAGGGAAGAGCCTCTCGGATGACCAGACAACAGCTGCGTCATTGCCCCCGTTGCCCCATCCTCTCACCAAAACCCAGTGTCGAGACCGCAGTACCCAGTGTGAAGAGCCTTCAGACGAGTCCAATCCTAAAACAGAACCTTCCATTGCTCCCAGTTCTGGTGTGTAAACTTGTACATAAACCCATCTTCACTTGTCACTTACTATGTTTATTTGGTATTTCTGGAGCAGCTTGAGAAGTTTTGTTGATTGACATATGATGTGGCAAATCTAATATGTAGTATCAGGTGACAAAGACGATGCTAAACGGTTAGAACTTCTGTAATAGTGGTGCATACTTGCCCTTTTGAACCAGAGTGGTTAAAGAGTAACCTGAGCACCATGTCAGAGCAGCGATTTGGGAGTGAACACAAATAAAACATAGTCAAAGTTTTGTAAAACTTCCTGCATTATTTGCTCTCCAGGCATTGGCCAGCAAAGCTGAAGATCTTGTATTTCGTTACAGATTCCACTCCTCTCAACACAACTCCGATTAGCAGCGCTGTTGAAAAAGATATGGTGGAGATTCTCATCTGAGATGAACAATGTTCAGCTTGATGCTGCCTGCTGTCTTATGCACAAAATATTCTCTCCTTGGGGCTCCATCTGAGGACCAACCATATCAAGAGAAGCTGTGCTTGCTTTGAGAAGGAGCTCACCATTGAAGCCGGTCAGTTTTGTATCAGACAGAGAGAAGAACGGATAGTGGGAGTAACCTAAAGCTGATCCTCGGTGAAGGAGAGCTGAGCTCTCTTGACAGTTCCTCCATATGTTAAATGACAGTGTTTCATCTCAGCTGGTGACTCTCAACCTGGACTGTGAGATCTATGGTCTGAATGTGAAGTACATGGACAGTCCTCTGCAGAGCTCCAAAAAGCTTTTTAAGTGCTTATAAAACACATAGTATATGTTGATGTTCTTTGTATTTATGAGTATTGCTGCTGACTGTGAGACAATGGAGAAATAGGAAGAAATATCCCACTGTTGTGAAACTTTTGTTTTTGCATTCGCTTTCCTTTAAGGAACAACCAAGGGCAGTGTTTTTTTTTTTAACCAACTAAGTATACCAACCCATGTAAGACTATATCCCACATTCCATAGATAAATGCACAGACAAATATATCTCTAACTTTACATGCTCCATGTATAGTAGATGTACCATCGCAACTGCTTCATTCTTAAATATCAAGAAAAAAATTGTTTGGATTGTAGGAGGCTAAATACAGTTTGAACCTGGAGGCCTGGAATTAGACAATTTACCAGAATAGTTGGGTAAATTATCATTACAGTTGGCGTTCTTACTATAACTGACTGACAGCGGGTGCTTCTGGCTCCCTGATTTAAGTAGAGGAATGGGAAGCCTCTTTTCATGGACAGTGGATGGGTACATGTTCTTTTAGTGACACTTAGGGTAAATGTTACCCTTAGGCGGGACGGGGCTGATGTTTTAGATGCCATATTATTATTATTATTATTATTATTTTGCGCCCATAACTGCAACCATCATGCTTGCCATTCCCTCGCAGACAAGCCAGAGCTAATCTTCCCACATTCCTCCATGGCGGAATGCCCCTGCTCAGAGGAAAAAGGCTATCTGCAGTCTGACCTTTGGCCTTAGAACGGCTAGCATTTAGACTACCATCCCTTTTTGGATCGGTTTATTTCCATAGTGCTGCAGTAGCTGGTTCTACTGTAAGCGTATTTGATTATGTGACTCAAAGGTTCTCCAATGTAGCAACTGTGACTAGCCTTGATTTCTGAGACGGAGACTTTTCTGCTTGTTCTCAATCAAGACTACACTTGCGTTATGGTGGGATAATGGTATAAACCGTTACCGTGAAAACAAATCTTATCTATGTGGGTAATAAGTATCATACCATGTTAATTTAACCTTTCTCACTATCATTAAATGCTACTTTTATTTTCCTATTGGCTCTGATACAAAGCGCTTGCTGGTCAGTGCTTCGTAGTGAAGTCATGCTTGTTTTGTTCATTACTTTGACTGTTTACAGAAAGGGCTTTTGAAACGAGAGAATTTAATATATTTTGTATATTATTTTACTTTTTGGTATTTAGTAATGTGAACATGCCAAAGATTTGCATTACAATTAAATTATATAATAAAAGTATGCACATTAGCGACGTGAAATTCGCTAACTCGTTGACCCATATTTGGACATTGCTGTGAACTTCAAGAAAGGGGAATTGTTTTGTATGTCATTAACATTTCAGTCATTTGAATAAAACTTTAATATATATCTTTACAAAGACAATGTGTCAGCTGGTTTGTGTCTTAACTGAAAATACAGATGCTTTTAGAGGGAGGTATGAGCGGTGTGTCCTCCTGAGATGTTTCATATGTGCAAACTGCTCTTATCCGTGTCCCTTCTTTGACATGAATGACAGCTTTCTTTCCAAGCACAAGGGAGCCTTATTCACAACAGCAAAACAATTCTGCCACCTGCTTCAGTGTTGGCAAGCAGTTTTCGTAAAAAGAGAGAACGCATTCCAACTCTGCTCTCAAAGCCACAAAAAGAACATTCCTCTCATCAACTGTGCAAATGTTCAAATGGAAGATGTGCAAAAATTTGTAGTACAGACCAAACACCAATAAATACTCAAAAGCAGAGTGATTTACCAAAAGCTGAGAATACAATTATGAAAGTCACCAGTACTGTTTTGTGGCTTTGCAAATTAAGATGTAATTCTAGTCTCGAGAGGTGCATCCAGAATTCTGAGTAGGTACTATATTTGAGAGGAAACAAACTTCACGACCTGCGGCCGTATTGTCATTTTCATCAGTTGCATTGATTCTCTGCCATTCACAACTCCACTACAATGGCATCAGATGTGCACTTCAGAATCTCGGTGGAAGTAGGTCATCTAGGTACTTTTTACCTACTGTTTTGAATACTATAAATTCAGACATAGTTCTCTTTTCACATACTGTTTTTCACCTACTATACAGCAGGAAAAATAGGCATATTCGAATGCAGGGTAGGACATTTAACTGCCTTAGGCAAATTAGAGCTAACCAGACAAGGGTCTCAACAGTTTGGAACGCTTTGCAAGCCAAATCGATTCAAAGCTACATAGCTCAACATCAAGAGGAATTTGCCCCCTGGTAGAGTAAAACATGTTAAAGCATTCCATTCCAAATGGGGAAGAAGAGAGATGTCTGACATAAGAAGTAGAGCTGAAATGCTGTTCTTGTTTTTTAGCACCCAGAGGAAAATTCTATACAGATGTTGATATTTCATAACTCAGAAGGCTTAGTGCAGTTCTCAGTTCAGTTATATATTTTTAAATTTACAGTTTTGTCTCCGATGTTTCTCCAAAAAATAAACACAGACAAATGAGACGGCTGACAAAATAAGAAAATAGCGCTATTAAATAGCTAAGTTTATAGCACAGCTATAGGTAATTCAATGAGAATTTTTCATACTGAAAATTTGCAGACTTCCATCACAACAAAGTTTGAGTCATTATTGCAGGGTTTCTCAACTATTGTCATTTGAGGTCCATGGTCCTGCAGAGTTTATCTCCAAACTCACCTGACTGTAATTTTCTAGTAATCCTGAAGACCTTGATTTTCTTGTTCAGGTGTGTTTTATCAAGTTTGGAGATAAACTTCAGGATCTCCAGAACCAGAAATGAGAAACTCTGCAATGTTGAGATGTTATTTAAAAACTCAAGAGCAGGAGGGCCACTGGTCTGCAAAGTTTTGCCCCAAACCTAATCAAAGATCCCCCCCCAGCCAGCCAGCTAGCTAGCTGATCGAAGTCTGCAATCTAACTTGAAAAGTACAGGTAGGTGATTTTGATCAGGGTTTGAACTACAGTGCCAGATTTAAGGAACCCTGCTCTACGGGAGATTACTTGGGTCTTTTTAGGAACTTTTTGAGAGACAGGAGCCTCATGCAGAAATCTCACTTTTCATATTTAATCTCATTGCTGTCTAGGAGTAACAACCAGAGTGAGTGTCTATAAGGCACAAACCTGTATGAAAAATGTGCCTGGTAGAGTTTCACCTTTCCTCCCTGCTTTGTCAGCAACATTAATCCCTTAAGAACTTTGACTTCCAAGTTCTGTTCATCAGCAGCATTTTTGAAATAGTTTTCTGAAGAATGTAGACAAATGATTCATTGTATAATAGCAGCCTTTTTGGTGTTGGTTCCAGCCTGCCAACTCAATGCATTCATGTTTCAGGATAAACTTCCTTGTAGTATTCATTAGTATGATGATCCTCACACACACCCTGAGCAAAATGATTACTTATGTGCATTAAAAGCTGTGGGCAATCTATACCGTGTTAAATAAGTCCACTGAGAAGGGGACTGTGTGTGCTTTTCAGTGGGTTTCTGTTTTCATGATAAATATTTTGCCTCACATGCCTCCCTCGGTAGGTGTGAGCTGGCATTCCATAAATGCTTTGCGAGATACCTGGCTGATGGGTTTACATGTGACGGATCAGTGTGACTTTCCTCAGCTGAAGGAGTACAGATGCAAGGAATGCTCCCGCTGGAATGTATCTCTCCTCAGGGGGCTCCAGTACACTTCAAGTTCAACCAATGGCCTGGTGTGTTAGCAGTCACCTCCTTCCACTACCAGAAATATCACTGTCCATTGCTGGGCTTATAAACTGTTTTGATGCCACTGTGCCTTTGTCACTTAAAGCAGTTCTTGTCTCACTTGTACGGTCTTGTTCATTTCTGGTGTTCTGTTTAGATGAGGGATCAGATTGGTGGACTAAGAGCTTCAACATCTGTTAGTGTGCATACTAAGATATCACGCTGTTCCATGGGGAATGTCATTCTTGGCACTCTGCTTGTTTTAGCAGGCTTCCCAGGCTCCCCAAATTTGAGAGGAAACATCAGGAACAGTCCATTCCAGAAACATCTGCAATTTGAAAATGTAAAAGCCTTGTTGAGGACCTCTGCAGTTTCTTCTGTAATGCAATGCTACTGCTGTAGATGGTGTTCAGAGTTTGTCATAGTAAATTATGTGGTTTATGGCATCAGTCAATACCTAAAGTGATAGTTTGCCCAAAAATGAAGATTCTGTCATTTACTTACCCTCATGTCATTCTAAAACTGTATGACTGACTGACTTCTGTGGAACAAAGAATTTTTTTTTTTAAGAGATGTCCCAAAGTTCTTCAAAATATCTTTTGTGTCCCACTGAAGAATGAAATGCATAAAGGTTTTCTTATTACATGATTAAGTATGATAGCCATCATGAAAATGGTTCCCATCAATGTTCAGAATAGTTTTTCCAGTGATGCCCTCACTGACTCAGCAAATGAAAAGCACATTGTTAATATTGGCCTTTACAGATGTTCCAAAGATCTTAGTAACATGTTCTTGGTTAAGGACCTTAGTAACACATACCTAGGAAAATGATTCAATAAGTAAAATGTAGTGTTTTCCATCAGTTTCCATAGAGACTCACCGAGATTCCAAAACCTCCAGGAGTGTGGATGGAATAAATTTCCCTCACTGACTCTTTCCCCTTTCCTTTCCAAAGAAGGTTACAGTCATCTATTATGTCTCTTTTACAAGATGTAATATAAGTTTCTAGTGACCCCAGAACATGCCTGAGAAGTTTCAGCTTATAATTCCCCACAAATCATTTATTATACCATGCTGGAGCAGAGTTAAAGATCTTTTTTTTTTTTTTTTTTGTGAGAGTCTCTCTGATTGGTGAAATTCCTCTACAGCATCATGGGTAATGTAGTTTTTCACCACATATTCAGCAATTAAAGATTATTTTTTAAAAAATGAGTTAAATTAATGTGAATAAACGAGTTCAACAAAAGCATATAGAATCGATTAACAACCTCAGAGCTCACGACATGTCTGTCTTTAAAAGGTTTGTCAGTTACGGTTTAAAATCAATTTACCTATGGAGAAAATTAATGGAATTTTTATTTCTGGAACCAGCTTCCGGCACTGTATAGCTTGTGCCTCGGTTACTACAGCAGCAACAAACAAACATCTGTTTGTTTTTGATTGATGTCTATCATGCTCGCGTGACATTTGCAGTTCTTCATCATGAGAAGTTTATTTATTGTATGTGTTTTAAAAAGTAACTACGTGCACGTTTTTCTGAGAACACATGAACTGCATGCGACAAATACTGTAAACACAGTTGGTTAGGAACGTAAACAGCTGCATGTGTATCAGTATGTTTACTGCGAAACAGTAGCTGTGTCCCAAATGATGCACTATACTTTATGCATTCATACTCTATGTACTTATGCCCTTAGGTGTTCATGCTTCCTTCTGCTGACCAGCTTTTTGAAGATGCTGATTTAATTTTCCAGCATGATTTGGCATCTGCCCACACTGCTAAAAGCACCAAAAGTTGGTTAAATGACCATGGTGTTGGTGTGCTTGACTGGCCAGCAAACTCACCAGACCTGAATCCCATAGAGAATCTAAGGGGGATTGTCAAGAGGAAAATGAGAAACAAGAGACCAAAAAATGCAGATGAGCTGAAGGCCACTGTCAAAGAAACCTGGGCTTCCAAACCACCTCAGCAGTGCCCCAAACTGATCACCTCTATGCCATGCCGAATTGAGGCAGTAATTAAATCAAAAGGAGCCCCTACCAAGTATTGAGTACATGTACAGTAAATGAACATACTTTCCAGAAGGCCAACAATTCACTAAAAATGTTTTTTTTATTGGTCTTATGAAGTATTCTAATTTGTTGAGATAGTGAATTGGTGGGTTTTTGTTCAATGTGAGCCAAAATCATCACAATTAAAAGAACCAAAGACTTAAACTACTTCAGTCTGTGTGCATTGAATTTATTTAATACACGAGTTTCACAATTTGAGTTGAATTACTGAAATTAACTTTTCCACTTCATTCTAATTTATTGAGATGCACCTGTATTCTGCCAAGATCAACCATGTAGTGTATGAATTATATAAGGCTATTTTGTCATTTTGTAATCGGAGTCTGATAGCCCCTCCCCCTTCGCTACATAATTAACGTGCATCAAGCACACTTATTTTTTTATTTATTTTTGGGTTATTTAATTGCATCATCCGGGTAATTAAAGTGCACTTTTTCTTTTTGGAATTTTCAGTGAGAACACTCTACTCGCACTGTTTATACTAGAAAAAAATCATAGAATAGTGCATAAGTACGCGATTTGCGAAGCACCTAGTGTCTCTTGGACATAGCAACAACACACTACTAACACATCTCAACCAGGTGCCTTGTCCAAATAACCACACTTGCGGTCTTTGCACTT